AATTTTCATTTTTGGGTGAACTAACCCTTTAAGTAAAGATCATGTTCCATGAAGATCTTTTGTAAATTTCGTACCGTATATATATCAAAACTTCCCAGCAGGCACCGGACGTCTATGTAACGTCAGGTTGGCGTTGGACATGACGTCAGACAGACGTTTTATGAAGCGACGAGAATACTTTTTGTGCGCAAAAACAAAACAAAAATAACTTTTGACTTTATTCAACAACCTCTTCTCTCGTACCGTATATATATCAAAACTTCCCAGCAGGCACCGGACGTCTATGTAACGTCAGGTTGGCGTTGGACATGACGTCAGACAGACGTTGCATTTTGGTTGAAAATGAAAATCGGGTTGACGTCAGTATTTGACGTCAATTTGACATCGACTTAACATTGGATTTTGGTTACGCAACCTAAAAACAACTAAATATCAACGTCAGCTGACGTCGGTATTGGACATAAATTTAACATCCTGACGTCGCAACCGAAATTTAACCAAATGTCAACATCTTATGACGTTGTGTGCCTGCTGGGTTAATTTTTGATAAGCAATATGCATTGCTAAGAACTTCATTTGGACAACATTAAAGGCGATTTTCTCAATATTTTGATTTTTTTTGCACCCTCAGATTCCAGATTTTCATATAGTTGTATCTCTGCCAAATGTTGTCCTATCCTAACAAACCATACATCAATGGAAAGCTTATTTATTCAGAGAAACAATAGCAAAGTTGAAAAAATTAAACCCCAGCAAAATGTATGTATAAATAATTTTGTATGCTTAATTCTGTCTTAAAGAGAGTCAACTGAATGCTACAATCTTCTAGTTAGCAATACTGGAAAATTTATGTCATATCTGATCACATAAATAGTTAGCTGTAGAAGGAGACCAGCTAGATGAATTACATATACTGTAGTAAAGTTTCGTTTTCCATCAGCTTGTTGTATGTCTTGTTCTTCTGTTGCTTTGTAGTGGATGGATGTATATTTACATTAAGGTATCGATTCATTTATTAATGCATTGAATATGTGCATGTTTGAGTGAGTGAAACCAGTTGGGTCAAAAAGTAACAATTTTCAGGTAGATTTCGAAAGTCTACTCACACTTTTTCATGAGATAAGAGAGTGTAGATTGAGGTTAGAATCAAGTTTAAAGATAAGGGGAAGTTTCCTGCTTATTAATTGAAATTAGATTAAATAGTGTTTAGTCAATTTGGCCATCATTCAAGTCTAGGTGAGCAGTGGTTTAATAACCCTGTATCTTCCTGCTTTTCCCAGTCTAAAAGGACGTATGAGCAGAGGTGTAAAGAGGCTGATGAAGCTGAACTGGCTGCTGAGAAGCTCAACAGTACATCCACTGTCACCCCCAAACAATCTGAAAAGGTAAATTATGGGTCATTATGGGCAGAATTTGTGTGGTTGTCAAATATTACAACATACGCTAGCGTTCAGTTTGGGGTCAGTAAGATTATTTATTTATTTATTGGCAAAAATAAATACTTTTATTCAGCAAGGATGCATTAAATTGATCAAATGTGACCATAAAGACATAATGTAACAAAAAAAAAATCTGTATTTCAAATAAATATAGAAAAGAGCTGTTTTGCTCTTTTGAACTTTCTATAATAATCAAAGAATACTGAAAAACAGTATCACGGTTTCCACAAAAATAATAAGCAGCGCAACTGTTATTAAACTTTATAATAACAAGAAATGTTGATCAGCGAATCAGCATATAAGAATGACGATTTTCAGTAATGACTGCTGAAAATGTAGCTTTGCCATCACAGGAATAAACTGTAAATATCAAAAAAGAAAACAGTTACTTAAAATTGAAATAATATTTTACAATATTACTGTCTTGACTATATTTTTGATGAAATAAATGCAGCCTTGGTGAACGTAAGAGACATCTTTCAAAAATATTTTGACCCCAAACTTTTGAACAATAGTATGATTTTACTTAATTTATGAATTGTTTTACATTTGAAATAAATGTTGGTAAAAATGCGAGTGATATTGTTTGATGCCATTTCTTTTTTAATTAAACTGGGGTCATTCTGTGTCAACTCAACCAGACATGCCTAGCTAAAAATGTTGATTTTAATTTGGAAGAAATACATAAATAAAGAAGAAAGCCAAGATATTAAATGTCATGGATGAATAATCCACCGGTTTGTAGAGGGTGGTCAAAATGACCATTTTCACCTGAGATTCAGAGCCAAATTATGGGGAGTAGAAATAACGTTAAGTGTCAGCTCTGGAAGTGAACCATATAGGGCCTTAAAAATTAAGATATCAAAAGGAAAGTTTGATAACAACCAAAATCTAAAAGGATATTAGGATATCTCTAATATTTTGCAGGCATGCAGACTTTGGAAAAAATGAAAAAGTATTTGTGTGTGTGTATATACTGTATATATATATATATATATATTTTTTTTTTTTTATTAAAAAGTACTTTTTTTCTGTATTTGAACTGGCATGTAATGCAACAAAGATGGCTAAAGTCAACTGATTTTGCTAAGAGACCTACCAATCTCTTTGTAAAAATAAAATGATGATGCTAACTTTGATGAAATCTATTTTGTGCTCTATGCCATAACAGACACAAAACAAAGCAAAACAGTGCAGGGACGCAGTAACAGATGCAGGTGAGAATAAAAATATGCTTTGTTTTCACACATAGCAGCGTCTGGTTGCAATGCAAAAATTAGCAATCAGTACATCCGAGCCCAAAAAAAACAAAACTGTGATTCAAGTAATGTTTAACATGCACAATTCAAATAGTTCCAAACAAGACATTAAATGCTACAAGGCTCATGCTTGTTCCTGATTCACAGAGAAACAGTACATGTCAAACATAGAGCAGCTGGATAAGATTTGTCAGGAATGGGAGACCACGCACGAGTGCACGTGTGAGGTATAAAAACACACTCGCCTATCTGTTTGCAGGCCTTCGGAAATAGCTCTATCTCTCTGCTGAAGCTGTGAACCACATAGAACACACTAAAAATGAACTTCCCTTTTTCTCTCTGTTTTACCCATATGTACCACAAACACTACTCAACTCAACTGCAAAAGAGACTGTTTTTGGTTTATTTAACAAGTACATGCATAACGTCAATTCTGATCCTCCTATGTGTCACTAACAGTTTGACAATTTACCATTTACTGTATTTAATACCTTGTATGGTGAGTTAGCTCAGCCTGTGTCATCCTACTGATTTCCTTCTGCGTCTGTCCACTGCATAAGCATTATTAATAATAAGCTGGCTGATTCATGGGCCTTCACATTACGAGCACGCAGATGTATTTATAGCATGATGTTGAGCTGAATTCTGTGAATTCCTCCAGGTTTTCCAGCAGCAGGAAGATGATCGCATTAACATTTTGAGAAATGCTATTTGGGTCCATTGTAACCACTTTTCCATGCAATGCGTCAAAGATGATGAGGTCAGTATTACTTAATGAAGTTTTTTATAGATCACATTGATGATAGTTGCAGCGGATAACATTAAGATTACATACATACGGTGGAAATATGGACATGTTTAAAGATAGAACCATTGTATTTCATGCAGTGGTCAGTTTTAAGATTTTGATTTTGCTTTCTTAACATGTCTTCTTTCAGACTAGTGGGGGAAAAAACGTCCAAAATTCATATTTAAGTGTTTATTTTGTGACCTGTAATCTATCAGCGTCTTTAGTAGGGATGTAATAAAAGGACACATTTAATTTATAATTTGTCTTAAATCTCATTTTGTTAAAAAAATAATAATAATCGTGAATCGAATCGAATCGTGAGTTGAGTGAATCGTTACAACCCTAGTCTTTAGATTTCAATTTACAAAATATATTTATAAAGGCTGTTTGCTGAAAATGAGGCTTTTTTTTCATGCCACTCTAATGGCAGAAATGAGTAGCACTTACATACTATACACTAAACTTTCCAGTTTTATATATTTTAGTATAAGATAACACTGATTTTTATATACTAAAATCAGGGTTATCTTAACTAAAACTGAAACTGAATTTAAAATGAAAATGAATACCATTAGAACACATTTCCATTATTTGAAATAAAATAAACGTCATCTTAAAATAAAATATTAAATCCTTTTATTTCAGCTAGCTGCAGAGGCAGCATTTCTTATTTTAATTTAGTGTAACTTAATGGACTAAAATAACTAAAAGTAAACCTAAAATAAAAATGTCTAAAAACTATATAGACATATACAGTATATTGTATGTGTATATATAACAATCAACAAAATGACTAAAACTTCCAACTGAAAATGAAAACAGAATATAAAAAAATTCATATTTTTTCATATAAAATAAAAACTCAAAATACAAATAAACTATAATAGTATACTATAATATAATATTTAACTATGATAGTACCAGTGATACTTAAATTACACTGAAGTTTGTTCATTTATAATCATCCTGGTTTATAAAAAACATATTCCTAAAAAGATGATAAAATGCATTTTTTAAATTCAAAATAGTCAAATAAAAACCTTTAACTTTAATACAGTATGTCAACAAGAATTGTGTACCTGTTCTGGAAATTTATGCAAATTAGTGTACATTATAATAATGCATCATATGCATATTTAAACAGCATTTTTAGAAAAGTTGTAATGCAAATTAATTTTCTTAATGTAATCACAAGTATGATGATATCGGATATTTTTCTCTATTCACCTGTTGCGTCTTGACTTAAAATGACATCAAATAAGTGGGATGTATTATTCTTGATATTAATTATATGAATGTAAGCAAACTTGTGTCATTGCTCCTGTGAGCTTCGCTTGAAACTTTGATGTTCTGTGGAAAACTATCAGGTTTTACACAAATGCTATCTTTAATGCAATTACATTTTGGTATTAAATGCTAAAAACTCGTGGTCTCTAACTGTGAAATAAAGCACTGGCCATATTGTCAAATTACTGGTCATTTTTATGCAGTGTTATGAGGAGGTGAGGAAAGTGCTAGAAATGTGTGACATCACGGAAGACATCAACACTTTCATCAAGACGAAAAGCACTGGCACCACTCGTGCAGGTCAGTGCATTTCTATATTGTTTCCATTGGGTTTTTATATTAAACCTGGCCAGTAATCACAAATCGTGATTGTTGTGTCTTTGCTTAATTCAATTTATCTGTCTGTGTCTGTAGTGCCCATTGTGTTTGAAAACTATTATGATAGACAACCAACAACGGACAGCAATGGCATCGCACGCTTTGGAGGAGGCGTGATGAAGAGGTGTGTTTTCCACTGCTGGGTCTGTATGTTCATGTGTATTTGCCATGCTGACAAGACAGAAAACAATGGAAAATGTAAGCCATACTGCTGTTTAGCAGAAGCTGGTTTTAACATGCTTTCTATCAGAAATACTGGTTCATTAGTCTTAAAGGTGTTAGCAGATATATCACACAAAAAGACGTGCAGGCCGAGCTGTGATACTGAACTGGTGAATTTGTGACTTCATATTAAATGTTTAAAATTTCTTCAGTCTTTTAATGTGCTGGTTTTTCCTCCCGTTTTATGCAATCTTTTTTTTTTTCTTTTTGAAAGGTTTTCAAATCTCTTGCAAGGCAACTGTGCTGTTGGCTCTAGGACTAATAATGAATGTGTTCAGCCATCAGCACCTCCATCAGGTACCTATTACAATAACATAATGACAATTTTCGGCAGCATCTTTCGTTCTTCTATTTTTACCACCACCAGAGGGCACTTCAGCCCACTGTTTAATTTCATTAATTGTATTTGTTTTTTTCTTACTTTTTATTTTCCAAATATTTTCCCTAGTGTAACCACTTAAAAAATTTTTTTTGAGTACTAGTGTTATTTTAGCATTATTTATATACTATTATAGTATTTATTAATATCATGAATTATCTTTTTTCCCCAAATATTTTCCCTAGTGTAACCACTTGAAAAATGTATTTGAGTACTAGTGTTATTTAGCATTATTTATATACTATTATAGTATTTATTAATATTATGAATTAGCTTTGATTTTTGTTTTCTGTAATGTTTGTATTAGTAGTGTTTACATTACAACTCTTTACAATAAGCTCCCTTTAGATAATGTTAAAATTAACAAAGAGCAATTCATTTGTTACCATATTTATTAATCTTAATAAAAATACTGTTTATTGTTAGTTTATGTCAGCTCAGGTCCAGTATTAACAGATACAACTTTTGTTTTTAAATAATGAATTAGTAAACATTGAAAATATTATTAAGATTAATAAATGCGTGAGAATAATTTTTTGTAAAGTGTTACCAAGTATTTCTATTTAGCTTTATTTTTATTTCAGTTTTAGGCGTTTTAGTACATAAACGTATTTTATTTCAGTTAATTGCCTTGGGCAACTTTTCTCATTTTTATTTACACTTTTTGAAGTTTAGTTTAATGTATATTTTACAGTATATGTATTATATAATTGATCTGTTTTTTTTTCCAGCGGACATCTCAGATGGAGTGTATGCCTCCATTCCTGGATTTCCAAAAGCAACTTCAGACAGTGTTGGCTCTCAAAGCGGCACATACCAGGCTCAGTATGACTATGTCGCTCAGGTACAATAGTCTGATTAAATGAAAAAAAAAAAAAAAACAAGATGGAAATGATTATAACTTTACAGGAGAATACTAAGAATATGCATTCACTATAGATAACTTTAAAGAGGCGCATACAGAATATTTTAAAGGCCAAATTTAGTCATCCCTTTAGAACTCTATATTTTCGAGAAAATTTGCCACTGCAGTGTAAGTCAGTATTAACATTTCAATGTTTCTTCAAAAATGCCAATTTGGTATTTACCGTGGCTCTTGCCTAAGTACAGAAAACGGTTCATATCATTTTTGGGATGTTTAATGCAGTCTGATGAGAGACTGTTGTGTGTGCAGGGCGCTGATGAGCTCTCCATCTCTGTGGGGGAAGTGCTGCTCGTGGTGGAACAGGGAGGAGACGGCTGGTGGATGGTGGAGAGGGACGGCCAGACTGGGCTGGTGCCAGGCTCCTATTTAGCCAAGATATGAATCAAGAGTCTAGCGCACACTGGAAAGGCTCTCCATGTCCTTAAACGCCCTCGAATAGCAGAGTTATTAAGGGCACTCCCTATATAAGTGTCTCAGAGGAGGATTTCTGTTTGCTAAATGCATTTAAGCAGTAGCACATCCGTACTGAAAATCTGTATGGAACATAGAAACGGATTAATATGTATATTAAAAACTGATAATTATACGTGACTATCATTATTGTCGAGATAGAGATTTATATTTATTATAAAAATTATTTATTGTGAATGAAAAACATAAGCATGTACAACACAATGAGTAGCCACTACAGACTTGCCGTGATTTAGTTCATGCGAAGACGATGACAATGTAGATATTTAAACAGAATTCAAAATTTCATCTGTTTACTTTTTGGAAAGTTAATCAATGAAACAAAAGTGAGGTCATCTACAATTTTAAATTATCATCATCTATATCATCTATAATAGAGCTCTAGGTTCAGCATTTTGCATTTATCACTTGGACTGCATAAAATAAAAGCTGTGTAATGATCATTGCATCATGTTGGCGTTGACTGAATGTAAGTTGGGTAATGGTTTGAACACTGTGGCTGTAATACTTTTTGACTCAGGTGGTTGGTTGAGAGAAACTAACCTGGGACAAACATTTTAAAGTTTAAACAGAACGATCGGCTTTGTCTTGTCCTCACGTATCAAGTTTCCAAAAGGCCAAGGGAACAATTCACAAACTTTTTCAAATATTTCTCAGTCACGGTATTCAACTTACCATATGTGACCCTGGACCACAAAACCAGTCTTAAGTCGCTGGGGTATATTTGTAGCAATAGCCAAAAATACATTGTATGGGTCAAAATTATAGATTTTTCTTTTATGCCAAAAATCATTAGGATATTAAGTAAAGATCATGTTCCATGAAGATATTTTGTAAATTTCCTACCGTAAATATATCAAAACTTCATTTTTGATTAGTAATATGCATTGATAAGAACTTCATTTGGACAACTTTAAAGGCGATTTTCTCAATATTTAGATTTTTTTTTTGCACCCTCAAGATTCCAGATTTTCAAATAGTTGTATCTCGACCAAATATTGTCCTAACAAACCATACATCAATGGAAAGCTGATTTATTATATGATGAAAAATTGACACTTAAGACTGGTTTTGTGATCCAGGGTCACATATTTGATTGATCATAAATGTTTAGAAATCACTGTCAATTACGGTCTGCAACATATTAAGAAATTAGGAAGCTTAAATACACTACAGTGCAATAGTTTGGAGTTCATACAATTTTTTTATTGAAGTCTTTTTTGCTCACTAAAGTAGCACTTTATCACTTATTTGATCAAAGTTACAGAAAAAAAAAACAGTAATATTCTGAAATATTATTACAATTTAAAATAAGTATTCTAATTGTTTTGAAATAAAACTATTAAAATCATTTTCTGTTCTAAAACATTTTAAAATGTGTTTTATGTATTTCATTTTTTATTTTTTTCTTCTCTGAATTTTTTTTTTTTGCAATTGCTGTTTCACAGTTTAGTTTATAAACTCAGAATTGAGATTTAAAAGAATAGCTCACCCAAAAACATTGACCCTCATGTCGTTCCAAACCTGTACAAGTTTCTTTCTTATGTTGAACACAAAAGAAGATATTTTGAAGAATTCTGAAGAACCAAACAGTTGTTGGTCCCCATTGACTTCCATATAGGGAAAGAAATACTATGGAAGTCGATGGGGACCATCAACTGTTTGATTACCAGCATTCTTCAAAATATCTTCTTTTATGTTCAACATAAGAACAGGTTTGGAACGACATGAGGGTGAGTAAATGAAGACAACATTTTTGGGTGAGCTATCCCTTTAATATGCAATTGCGAGTTGGTAGCATAGTAATCATAGTACTTTCTATACAAGCATTTTTTTCAGCACGTAAATCAGTCAGTAAACCAACACCCTGCTAATTCTTTATCAGGTATCTGGTTAAAAGGTTTCACATTGCTCTTTTGCACAGATCGTGTTTCAGCACTGTCAGGTCCTTCTCAGTTATAGTAAGTATACCGATAGAGGGGAACCCCACATGACAGGCTCATTAATTGCATTTCAACTTTCTACTATTAATAACCTGCCATTAGAGCTTGCAGATGTTGTGCTGTTATTAATGGATCCAAGAACACAGCGATCAAACCTCCCCCTCTAGATAATGTGTGATGATATGTTACTTCGCATGACCAACACAGCAAGCAGATGGGACACATCCCCCTCCCTGGGAAAGGACTGAACTTTAACCCTGTTCTATGCTATCAAGTGTTTAAGCCGCCTGACTGAAGAAAGACCCCAGACAAGGCATCTTTGACATCTTTTGAGTGCCTTGTGCATATGGAATTGCTCATTCAGTCAAGAATGATATAGTTGTGCTCCAGTTTGTTACATTACAGAGTACAAATGACAAGTACAAGATGACTGTTGTTCAGAAGCACTTCTTTCTTTAGCTTTTAACAACAATTACGGGGTGTACTGTGATTAATGGGCATTTTAGTGTATAAAGTCTACCATAATTTAAGGTGATTTTTTCAAAAGGTTTTTTTTTTTTCTTTTAAGAAATTAATATTTTTTATTTTGCACGGATGAACTCAACTGATCGAAAATGACAGTAAAGACTTTTTTTTGAATAAATGCTGTTCTTTTGAACTTTTTGTTCATCTTTCTATTCAAAAAAATGTATCTTGGTTTCCACAAAAATAAAGCAGCACAACGGTTTTCTTGGACTGGACTAATGACTGCTAAATGGTGGATCTTTATCAACACAGTAATAAATAATAAATAAAACATTCAAATAGGAAACAGTTACTTTAAACTGTATTTAAAAATTATTAAACATTTTTACATAATATAATTTTTAATTTTGCAGCCATGGCATAAAAGCCAATATCTTATTCAAATCAAAGAAATGAAACAACAGGTGTCAACTTATGAAACATTTATTTAAAGATCGAAATTACAAGCTTATTTCACAATTTTTTCTCCCTATGTATACATTCCTTAAAATAATACACTGCTGACCCCGTTTGACATACCTACATGTTATCCAAACTAACTTTAAACTCTATATATTACTAGACTAGTAATGTTTACACTGTAAGCAATGGAAAAAGGAGGAAAAGAAGATAAGAGTTCAGTAAATGGTAGGTAGTGCATCTAGAGAGCATCCCCCAAACCTCTTAACGCTTTACATGTGAACCCCATTTTGAACATTTAGCTGTACGATTGGACTCACAATGCCAAGCAATCTTGTGTGGTCAATCCAGACCTGTCTCTCACACTGCCACTGTCCCTGAGCAGCGGACTGGTGATGGGTGACATCTGAGACAGCGCTACCACGAGTCGATCCTCTCGCATCAAAGCATTTCCCCATCCCAACCATTTACCATCTTGGTATTTGTAATGTATAACTAAACCGTACACATAGTGCAGACTAACAAATGAGGAAAGCATACATTCCACATATTATTCCATACGATATCTGCATCTTCCACTCCATATAATAGAGACAAGAAAGAGAAAATGTTAACTTTTATTGTGTTAAAGTCTTCTCAACGGGATTAAAAACTGGCTGTCTGCCATTTTGCAGTCTGGCCCGACGCCTTTGAGAGAAAAAACAAAGGTTTAAATTAAAACGCAGTCATTTTCAGCGTATAAATAAATAGTATGCGCTTTGTTACACCCATCACCAGTGCAATGTGTGAGCAAACCCTGTGTAAGGCGTGTAGAAAGAGACATAAATTAGGGCATATCCAGTGTGCCACCTCACACCGACAGAACCCTGAGCCCAGTGTGTGTGTGTTTGTGTGTGCATGAAAAGAGAGAGTCTGTCTGCTAGGTTTTTTCATGCATACGTCCCTCCAGTGATGAGAAGCTCGTAGGCCGGGTCTAGGTGTCTGCGACACAGCACCACACAAGCGCACAGCATTCCCAGCATCTAGAGGAAAAATAAAGATTGACTTAATTTATAACTCAGAGATATGAGATGAGAAACATCTGCACTGGTACATGGTAAGAATACATACTACAGTTCTGGTTGATAATGATAAATTGCTGATATCAAAATTCTACATTATTTCTGTTTAAATAAAGTAAACACTAAAAAGTAAAAGTGATTTTTGCCATCGCAACCTTAAAATAAATAGTATGAAGAATTGAGATTTGCTAAAGATTATATTGAATAGTGTAGTTAAATTATTAGAGTCAGATGGTTGGAAAAATTACATAAACATACACTACCTTTCAAACGTTTCTTTAAAAAAATGCTTTTAAATAGCAAGAATGCATTGAATTGATCAAAATTGACAGTATAGACATTTATACAAAAATCCTATTTCAAATAAATGCAGTTTTTTTTTTACTTTTATTAATCAAAGAATCCTGAAAAAAAAAAAAAAAAACTATAATGGTTTCCACAAAAGTATTAAGCATCACAACTGTTTTCAACATTGATAATAAGAAATGTTTTTTTTGAGCATGAAATCAGCATATTGGAATAATTTCTGAAGGATCATGTGATACTGAAGACTGGAGTAATGCTTCCTGAAAATTCAGATTTGCCATCACAGGAATAAATTACATTTTAAAATGTATTATAAAACTGAAAACATCTATATCAAATATTATTAAATAATGATATTTAACAATATCACTGTTTTATTTTATATTTAATCAAATAAATGCAGCCTTGGTGAGCATAAAAGTAAAAAAAAAAAAAAAAACAGATGATAAAAAAAGTGGACTGTGGCAGGAAATGCACGTATACAATAGCCGTTATTTCAAATTGCCTTTGTGACAACAGTCTACAAAAGAGTGAGGTGAACTTCTTCACACTGGCACTGACAAATTTAATCAGTAAATTCAGACAATGAAAGAAAAAAAAAATGAAAAGGTAAAACATCTGGTGTAATTTATGCAAGTTTGCCAAGAACAACCTAACCCACTGCCCCGGTTCTTGCTTGTTAATTCAGGCAGACTGAGTCAGTTGTGTAAGTCATGTGTAAGTCACGGGCATGTGCTGGGCTTGCCAAGACGCCGTCTTATTTGCCTTTACGCCCCAGAGGGTATTTGGAACAGTATGAATGTCAAAGTCTGTGATTCAGCAGCTACAGGGCAACAAAAGCACATAGTGACACTGCCCGAGTGCTGCAGTCCCAGAGCTCTGTCTGACGGGAACAAAAGAGACACACTGAAGCTGCTGGACAAGCTCTGCACTGTTGATTCATTATCTAAACCAGGGGTTTCCAAACTTTCTTGTCAGCTAAACCCCAGCCAACGTAAAAGATTTACTTAAAGTACCCCCTGAGAAGTTAATAGTTCAATAGTTTAACAACACATTCACATATTCATGGTTCTCTGATGTTGGTTAAAGCTTCCATGACATGTCAGTAAACCAAATATTTAATCTTTTTTTTTTTTTTTATTAAACGTTTTAGAAACCCAAACAAATTAAATACTGATTTATGTCTTAAACTCTCAACCTTTAAACATTCAAACCCTCAAGCTTTTATTTAGGTGGAATATTGATGAAATGCTGAAAACTTCTGTTTACAAAATTATTGTAAATTATGCAAATGTGTAAATAAATTAAATCTGGCACACATTCCCGAATGCATGTTAAATAGTGCACAGCATGCCAAGATGAAGTCGGCTGAATTTACTGTAAACCGAGAAGCAATGAGACATTGAATACACTGGATCATGAGCTGCTCATGTGAACACAGTGCCACGCTTCACTCTGAAACACCATAATAGCACTAAGCTATATCACAATTATCACACAGCACCAGCAATCATTTTTTCATCTATCCATCAACTCACAAACCCCCGAAACCTTGATTTATGCATTTTCATGACTAATAACACTGAAACTGCACTACATGAATTAAAAAGAAGAAGAAAAAAAAATTCAGCGGCACTCTGACACTAGAAATTAAAAAATCTGAACAGCATACCTGAATTGCAGCAAACGTCAGAACGGCCCAGATGACGTACATCATAATCTCTTTCAGTTTCTTCACAACCAGGGCTTCACATCCCTAAAATGATTCAACATTGATTCAAATGATTCTTCATCGGCTACAAGCGCACATTTCTCAAACGTCTCTCACCTCAGGGTAGAGGTCTCCGGGACGGGAGAGGGAGCCGGTGCAGTTGTTCACGTTGGGTTTGCAGCAGCTCAGTGGCACACTGTTGTTTCTCGACTCCTTAAACCAGCGCGTGTTCTTCCAGTCTGAGTAGTTGGTGATGCCACAGCAATGGAGCTTCAAAGACATTATGGTGATTTTATAATTAGGGTTGGGATATAACAATATAGCAATACAATAACATTCTGTACATCTCAACAAGTCTTACCTGTCTCTGCACATAGTCAATAGCGCGGCTGGGAGCATCCGTGTTGGTGCCGTTGTATTCATCATACACTTTCTGGATGGACTGATTGACCTCGTCTTCCACCTACAAACACATCCACCAGTGACACAAATTAGCATTCCATTAAGGGTCAATATTTGCCCCCATAAATTGATATCAAAGGGAATTGTTTTTCCTTTATCAGGGCAAAGTCAGATTCTTATATTTAAAAAAAGAAATTCAATTGCAATAATAAAATACTACAAAATGCTTTAATAATATTGTTTTTCTAAATAAAATTGAATATATAAGTCTAAAATGCTAAAAAATGAAATGATACTCTAAAAATGAACAGTAGGTGTTGGCAAGTGTTAATGAGCGAGTCATTCATTCAACCAATTCGTTCAAACAGCTGATTCATTCAAGAAACAAGATTTTTGCACTTTATGAATGGGTCATTGAATTGTTCCCTTGACTGATTTCTTTAAAATGTGGATTCATTCATTTGTTGCTCTGAGACATGCAACGGTTCTGCTGTAGCTTTCTTTGGAACTATTTTCGTTCACGAAATATATCAAAAACAATGTTGTGCGTCTAAAATGCAATTCACTTAATATTAACTTCTTGTGTGTTGAAATATAAAATCAATATCACATTTGCAATCGTGCTGATATTTAAAAAAAACAGCACTCCTGCTTGTCTAATATTGTTTAACTACATAATAATAGAACTCATAAAATGACACTTTTGGTTGATATTTTGAAATTTGAGGGGCATTTTTATTAATTTTGTCCTCCATTCATTTCTGACCCTGACATCCATTCTTTATGTAGAAGGAGACACATTTTTGTAGTCTATACAGCACTGTTATAAAACAGCTCAGTATAATACAAGGCAAGCATTACATTGTTCACCTTTGCACACAACTGAAAGAGCTCACAAAGTGAGAAGAGCTTTCACATAAAAACAAAAGAGATGCAGGCACTCCTATTTCTATAAATATTGACTTCCTTTCAATGCGGGACTCACCTTTGCTCTGTAAATATAGCCAAGAACCACCACAACCACCTCAGTCACAAACACCAGCATAAGAATGATGACAAACTGCAAAGAAGAGATGCAAGGAAATGTGGTTTTAGCAGGGCAAGATATATGAACAATGATAAACTATCCCTTTCAACTTGTTTATTATCAATGTTGAAAACAGCTGTGCTCCTTAACATTCTTGTGGAAACATCATACATTTTTTTCCCATTTGAAATCTTTTGTAACATTTTAAATGTCTTTACTGTCACTTTTGATTAATTTAATGCATCCTTGCTGGATAAAAGTATTCATTTAAGGAAAACACTGATAGCAAGTGCTGGAAATTGAACAGCTCACTAACCGTGGCAAGACCGCAGCGGCTCTCTCGAATAGTGGCGAAGCATCCAATGAGTCCAATAATGAACAACAGCGCTCCGACTGCGATGATGACAACGGCTGGGATCAGGGTGTACACATCCTCAAAGAAATGGTCATAGTCATCATACGTGATGAACACATAGGCTCCAACATAGCAGAGAATGCCAGCAGCGGCCTATAAGGAGATAACAGAGGGTTAGTTATATGAAAGCAGATATGATGTGATTTCATGCCAAGAGTTATGTTAGTCTCATTATGAGTTAGATGTGACCGGTTACTGGATTGATTTAATGCAGTCTTCGTCACAGAAAGGCAATCAAATCAGTCATTTAGGATAAAGGCAACTAAGGATAAGTATTTGGAACCAAACACAACTTCATGTCATATCCGTCAAGAACGACTAAGGATATGGAATGCTGACCAACGAGAAAACCATCAGCCAAAATTAAAGGTCAACACACAGAAATGTGGATAATTATCATCTTATAAGGAAACAAGTCAGGAATAAAAAGTGTTCTGGGTCTTCCATGGACCACCAGGCATTTTGGGAAAAACTAGTTTTAAAAGGTTTTAGTCTTCCCCACGTACAACTGCACCATAAAAACCCCTATGAATCGGTTTAGCACAGCTCTCAGGCTCTGACGTGATGAAGACAGATTTAATAAAGCAGCCTGATCCCTAAAAAAAAAGAACAGGATAGTGTCATACTACCTCTATCTGTCAAGTGGAGACTTTAAACTTCATCCAGTCCCAGATTAAAGAGATTAATCAAACAAACGCAGACAAGAAAATCCTGCTGATAGGTGGAGTAGTGTTTCTACAGATCCAACAGCTGAGGTTAGGTCTTAGACGTGAAACTTTGCCACCAATGCCCCAGTTCAGTTGAACCCAATGTGCAAACCCCATTTTGTTTTTAACATTGGCTGTGGAAGTGTTGCATATTTAAATTTAAATGTTTGAAATTTGAAAACAAGGGATAAATATATTTTTTTAAATAACAGTATATTGCTAATATATATACATACACACATAGTTTAGTGGCCATTCTGGCCAATATTACTGATTTTCAATTTTATTTAAATCCTACTCAAACAGACTTTTTTCCCCCTTTGGTAGATCCTCAAAGTGAATTTTTAATTATGTATTAAATATTTTATTTTATATTGTACAATATATCATTGTGAATGATGTCTACATTTACCTAAATACCTTAACTAAGAATTGACTTTATAGACTTTTATAGATATTTATTTTTAACATTAAAGGGTTTTAATCTTTATAACATCTATAACATCAAAATAATTATATTTAATTGATTTTATGAAATCAAATTATAATTACATACGATCCGCTTAATAAAATGAAAATACTTTTTTATTATTCTTATTTGCCTGAATATTATAGTCTTTTTACCAAATCTTTATTATTATTATTATTATTATTATTATTATTATTATTACAACTACTATTATAAACTTAAATGTACTGTATTAAAACAATATTACAGGGCTATTAAAAGGAAATCATTTGTAGAAAATCTAAAACATTTGTACAAATGTTTCAAATCTGATCCTATTGCAAAGTCATTGTGAACGGTTTTTTAAAAAAGGCCTTCTTTGTTGTTTTGTGTGATGATGGAATCCTTTGAGGAAACTGCTATTAGCCTTATCCTTCAAGACTCCTTCCAAATTATTACAGAGTTTCCAAACGGAATTGCCTAAGGAGGAATAGGTTTAACATGTCAAACAATACAACTAAACCTGCTCTGGGGCTAAGGAAAACAATGAGGGTGACTTGCCAATTCACGCACGCATATTCAAGGCTAAAAGACATATAAATAACACTAATCTTATACAGTCAATGTTTATTAGGCATTACAGTGATCAGTGTAGACTTATTAAGACTGCAGGAAATATGTAAACAAGCACTGCAATACACAGCAACGAGCAGTTTTTTTAAATAATGTAATATAAACACAATAGGCATATCAAATATAGCAAAATATGCAAGCATTTAGCAGGTTTTATAAACGTATTAGTGATTTAAAGGAGCGTGTGTAATAATGCAGCTGCTCGACACCTGACTGTGTCCATCTGACAACACTGACGCACTCCTAAATTCTGCCCCAAATGCCTCTAACTTACCCAAAATATCAGGTTCAGGAACACCAAAACGGTTTTAGACGACGTAATTCCACACTGACCCATCATTAAAAGATGGGAAAAAGCCGTTTAAATTGCAAATATTACAAACTGGCTGCGGATTATAAAATGGCTGTCTGTTTCCTGGCTGCCATACCACTGCTGTGTTTGAGTCTGATCCGGGAACAGCGCCACACAGCGGTCAGCTGACGAACTCTCATTGGCGCTGTCACAAAGCAGCGAAAAGCCTAGATTGTGACTGATCATTCGATTTTGATGTTTATGTAGGAAATAACGGAGACACAGAAATGTGATGACCTGATATTTTTAATAGACTTTTATTAGTAGCGCTGGCTTTAGCAAAGCATTAAGCATTACAAGTTTTGCACGCACCACTCACATTTTCTTCATAAAATACTAACTATACTTTATTTTGTATTTTTTTGTAACTGCAAAGAACGACATCTTTTTCTGCTATTCAAAACATCGACTTATTAAATATAGAAAGTAAAGGGTTACATGTTTTTATACAGTCTACGGGTTACATGCAAGATAGTTACACAATGGGATTTAACTAAGTAATCTCTTTACTGACACCTGCTGTTACATCATTGAATTGCACAATCACAATCAATCAGGTCAATGGTAAGCCCAACACATGGCTGAAGCTCATTAAAGACTGCAGGCAGGTTTTCAAGGTTAACTATTCCATGAAATAAACAACAAATGTTTAAATATTAAAACGTAGTCTTGAAAAACAACAGAGAGAATATTAACAACACAGAGATTCAAATCAGGATTTGAAATGAGAGGTAACTGCATTGCGATCTATTTTGAGTTCACACGCATATGCAAATCTGCTTTCCTTAAAAAAAAAAGAAAAAGAAAAAAAAACTTCCTCTTGTGAAAATTTGCTTTTGAGTTTACCATACTTGGTTGGTGTCTTTCTATATGTAGGAGGAACAAAAACTAATTAGAAATCTCTTAATTTACATATTTACCTTTCCACACCCGTTTTATAGCTTAAGAAAAAAAAAAATAATATATATATATATATATATACATATAATTTCAATATATTATGTATGCAATGATTTTGTCTCACATTTCATATTGTGCCAAACCGAAACAAATAAATCCACAATCACTTAAAAAAAAAAAATCTATTTTTTATAAATAAATAAACAATAAACGAATACTGTAGGATTTCCTTTGAAACTATTTTCATTAAGAAATTGCTAGTAAATTTCACAAATAATTACAAAGAAAGGGCAAGTAACATTGAATTAAACACGAAATTTTTAAGCAAAAAGACTGAAATGATATTTTCTTGTAAAACATGCTCCAATAAACTCTGAAAAATCCCTTACAGTGATAAATCATAAAAGGTCACAATATAAACAAGCTTTAAAAATATATGGATAATAGACTAAATTGATGTCAATAGTTTTTTTTTCTTGTGCATTTTAAATCTGTATAAATGTATCATATGTAAAACTAGTTTTTAAATACTAATACAGTATAATAAAGCTGATTAAAGTTGATAATCAACATGCTTTCTAAATGAATAAATAGACATAATGTTACCAGAAGATTTATCTCTGTAAAAGGTTCTCAACTCAAATACAATGGATGCAAGATTTGAGTTCTGTCATAATGTTAAAATGCTGGTTTAAAAAAAAACAGATTTTTACTCGTTTTTAATAATTTACTAATTATACCTGTGTTTATGATATGCAAATTAGCCTGTACTATAATCTCTATGCATCGTTTTCTTGTGAAAACTGAAGTTATAAGTTCTGCATTGTTTAAGCTCTGCCTGAAGCAACCAAACATGCAAATGTAATATTTTCACACATGCATGCTCATCACTGAGTTTTAGCAAAACTAAAATCAGCATGAGTGCCGAACAGTTTATCCCAGTGACTAAAATGAGGTGCAAAGTTAGTATTAGGTTTCTGATGGTGCACATCATGCTTGCTCGGACCTCCATAAACACCAAATGGGATCAGACGAGACATGGACCAAGGGAAATCATATCCGCAGTGGTCTTCCACCGATACATAGACGTGGACCACCATGAACATCCAGGTGGTGAGCAGATGACACCTCAGCAGAATGGGGTTGAGCGTGGTCCAGAAGCCCACCGTCACCAACTCCCATCCACCAAGGCACTGTGTGGCCAGAGCAAATGGGGCGGAGTAATTATGGTGGATAGCATGGAAAGTCACATACAGCCAGCGGATCTTATGATGCAAAAAGTGCCAGATAAAATACTGAAAGTCAAAAAGAAGAAGGTTTCCAGTCACCCCACCTGCAAGTTCAAGCAATGTAGGTGCTCGTTCAGGAAGGGGGACAGGAGGTCTCCACATCCACTGCGCTACTGCTGCAGGAAACACCAGAAGTACGTGATTATAAAGAGTAACTCCACTGCAGTGAAGGAGCATTGCAGTTGTGGGCATCTTGCCGGGCTGGATCTTGTACCGGTTAATAGCTGGCCACTTCTTTCCATTGATGTCGCAGACTAGGTAGGGTAGGCAAAGAACAAAATACGACGCTACGGTCAGAATCACAGGAAAGAGAGGAGACCGAAGAGTTTCAGAGTGGTTGAGTCGCACATAGTCCCACATAGGCTGCAAAGCTGAGTCTTTTGACTGGAAGGTCTCCCAAATTGTCTCAAACACCTGAACTAGTGTCATTTTCAGTAATTGATCGACTATATTTCTTTTAAAGCAAACAAATACAACTTAAAATAGTTTAGCTTTCTAAATCATCCTCTGTCCTGAATGTTTCATGTGGCTCAGGTGTTATAATGACTTTGTACTGAAATATTTATACCTTTATTCGGTTTCTTAATTATTTAGGTGTCTGAGGGGTGTATGTAGACATTACTTATACAGTGTAATACATATATTTATTTACATTCTAGGAATAAAAGGTGTGTTTAAGACAGTTTGGATGTGAATTTATTGTTTGTCCGAACATGCGCTGTTGTCTTTCCACTCCGTGACGCAAGAGGGCGTCGAAGACGTCTAAGTCAAACGATGGAAAAATAATCAGCAAATAGAATGGTGGTGATTAGCATAGCGGTATGTTTTTTTTTTTTTTCTTTTTTTTTTGTCTCCTTTCAAATCCCGCTTAAGAGGGCTGAGGGAGGACGGAGGAGCTGAACACGCAGCGCCGGATGAAGCTCTATGAAGACTCTAAGCGGGTACAAGAATCAAGGGTGTTTGTATGTGGGTTGGTAGGTTAATCAGGAGATTGTAGATAGAGTGTCAATGGTCCATTTGAGATATAGGTGGCGGTAATGCACTTATAAGTCTGCGATCCGCCGTAAAGCAACAAGAAGACGACGAAGAAGAAGCATAGCGGTATTGAATGGGCGTGGCTTTGGCCCATATGTTATCTCTAATTGGTCATGATTGGTCCAAATATGCAATTCTTTACTGTGTATTTTGAAATCAATGAATATTAAAATGTCTCACTGATATTACTCCGAAGTAAATTATTTAATTATGAGGCCAGGCAGGTGTAGCAATCGTGCCGTCTCTACACTCAGAGGAGGCGATGATGCTATTACAAGAAAAATAGCCGCTTTCTTCATCAGAGAGCTGCAGGCGCAACGAAATAGAGAGAATAGTACAGTTCACAAAGAAAAAGAAAGAAATGTGGACGGTCTCGCATCAGAGCCACACAGCAGCATTCGAGTGACAGCAGCCAGTCTGGTACAGAGGAGCATCCGCCCCCATTCAGCCACAAAACTGCTCCTGTAAAGCAAAAGAGAGCCAGGCGTTCCTGTCGCTACTTCCTGTATCGATTTTGTGCAGTGTAGGACCGCTTTTGGCATCCACAGGACCAGCCTCATAGCCCGAGAGAGAAACGCACCTTTTCCAGAACGATACCGAAGTATAGCGCTAATGGTGTCACGTGGTGCATGTTACTTTCCTCCGCGCTGGTCAGATTGGACCAATTACAGTGCGTCATGATTACATCGTAAAGCTTTTTAAAAAATAATTTAGTACGGGTAGCTTGAGCAGATTTTCATTTCTCTTTTTGGCATGTCAGATACCAGTTAATAGATTAAAACGATTACACTTTTTGGTGTAGAAATGTCTCCAGTAATGCAATAATCGTTTTAAGATTTGAACGCGGATGAATTAAGAATTAGACTTTGTGAGCCAGCAAAGCGCCTCCTGGAGGAAGTAAGCGTCTTGTATCATAACATATCTAACGAATGCCTCCCAATCTTAGAATATCGCTTGTTTATGCTAAACGTAAACGTACTGAGACAGAGCGACAGCAATAAGTACTGAAGAGTATACAGTGACTACAAGGTGTGTGCTATCCGATCTAATGGAGCCAGAAAGTGCGGATGTGGTGCAGGTTAGTGGCGAACGTCTGTTAGGTGACATCCACCACAAATATCCACCAGCAATTTTGATCAGTTTTAATTCAGAACAACATTGTCAGGTCCAGTCCACCTAAACGCCAACATAAGTAAACCAAACCAACATGGTAACGTATTTTAAACAGTTGAACTTTAGGTTTAGCAGGACTTCCTGTGCGTGTTAGAAATGCTCGATTCTTCAATGAATTGGGAGTCGAATCTTTTCAGTTTCAACAATCAGTTGGATATGGTTAATTTAAGATTATTTTATTTATAAAGCATAATTTAAAAACCAAGTTAAAAGCGTTAGTACGTATCAGAATGAGCATGAGTGATGAGAGAACTTAACTTGGGCTTCTTGAAATTCTGAATCAACTGAACCAGTTGCTTCGCAAAATGATTCACTGTTTCGAAATCATTCTCAGTCATCTCGAAACATCACAGACTGGCGGCACCTGCTGTTCAAAACAAAAAGTTTTGAGGTCAATTGATCTAATTTAGTGTCATTGGAAAATAGTGACGGACAAAATCTGTGGATTTTGAATTGAAATATATATATTAATATAGCTTTTTAAAATTTATACAATCATTTATACATTTTTTAAATGTTGAATTAGTTTTTTTTTATTAGTGTAGCGGTATAATTATATAATTACATGTAATTACATTGCTTAAATCACTTGACTTGGCTAGTGTAATACAGGGTTCGAACCACTGATCAAAACAAAAGATTCAAAAGTGTTGTGAAACTTCATGAAGCTGTGTTTCGAAAGCACCTCTCACTTATGTAATTACATATGGATTTATTAAGATGTGTTATGTTATGGTCAAATTAGCAAAAGTTTTTGGTCAGCAAAATGGACAGTTGTCTGTTGTTAAAAGAAGCACAGCTTGCACAGAAGTCACTTTCAAACCAGCAGTTTTCTGTGGGTCAACGCTGCAAATTTGCATGAACAAATTAACCTGATGTGACGCACCTGATGCACCTTTAGAGAGTTTTAAAAGCTATCTTTAATCTTTATTGTGAAGGTTTACTGAAACAAACTGTCTAAAAGACAGACTTTTAGTCAGTAGTAGTACATGCTTGTGACTGTGTTCAGTGTTCACTTTCAGATGTTATGTAATAGCATGTTTACAGGGAAACCCGTGGTATTTTATGGTACATGTAACAGTACTCATGTAAATCAGGTTTTAAGCTGATATTTTCAGCAGATTATTATAGTGACTCTATACACAAATACACTAGTGTTTTATTGTTGAACAGTTACAAAAAAATTGTGGGAACATAGTTTTAAGATTCAAGGGCCTCATTAATTTATTCACAGTTAGGATTTAAACACAAAAGACGACATTTTGGGTGAACTATCCCTTTAAAAAAACACTACATCAAACACTGAAACAGCATGTTGTTCATGTGAGAATGTTGTCATATAACAGACGTTTTCATGTTGTTTTATTTATTTCACAGTCATTGGGTCCTGGGGATGAACCAGCCTCTTCATCCGTGTCAACTGACACTGAAAATGTCAATTTAAGCCAAAATACTGAGATTAGCAGCAAGGACACTTCACAGAAGTCCGGTCAGGTGCAGCAACTGTGTCGCTTCTACTCTCAGGGCAAACGATGCTATTATGGGAAAAGGTGCCGCTTTCTTCATCAAAGAGCTGCGAGTGCACAGAAAGACGAAGAGAACGGTACAACTCTCAAAGAGAAAGAAGGAAATTTGGATGGTCACCCATCAGACCCACAGCAGCAGACGAGTGAAAACGGACAGTCTGGTACAGAGGAGCTTCCACCTCCATCCAGCCACAGAGCTGCTCCTGTGAAGCAAGAGAGAGCCAGACGACCCTGCCGCTACTTCCTGTCTGGGTTTTGTGCAATGGAGGACCGGTGTCGCTTCTTTCATCCACAACAATTTCCGCCCGTGGAGGACCAGCCTCACGGCCCGAAAGAGAGGAGCAGCTTCAGGCCTTCTGCTCCGACCACACGACCAGCTAAAAGTCAAGAGCAGATCAAACTGCCTGATCTCACTGATGAGGTCTGCAAGCAGCTGAGAGCCACCGAGATCGCTCAGCTCACAAAGAGATTTCCGAAAGACAAACTCATCGTGCAGGAGCGAGAAGATGGACAGCTGACCTACTACAGAGTCACAGTTCAAGCCACGGACCCTGACTGGGTAAATACTTATTGTATGGACCAGGGGTGTCCAAAACTCCAAAGCCCAAAACAGAACCCTGAGGGACACCAGTGGTAACTGTAGATGGTCTTGATCGAAATTTTTTAAATTTGAACAAGAGCAGTCTCTGTACTATGGGGGGGATGAAAGCCAGATTAAAATTGCTGAAACAATTTATTATTGGACAGATGATCGTGAACTTGAGTTGCAACACATTTTTCCAAGATTTTAGAAATAAATCGCAAATTAGAAGTTGGACTGTAATTTTCTATATTTGATGAATCAGCACCTGATTTTTTAGGTTATACAGGTAATAATAGCAGTTTTAAGAGAGGAAGGTTCAGAACCAAAAACAAGTGAAGAGTGAATAATTTGAGTAATTAATGGAGACAGAGATGGTTAGACAGGCTTAACTAAACTAGTAGGCAATGGGTCGTGCTATCAAGTGGTAGGTTTAGATTTCTGGATATGACACAATATTATCGCAGCAGTTGGTAAAGTGAGTAGTAAAAGTAGAGTGCAGGAATTACTTGATAATACGGTTAACAGCAGAGAGTCAGGTGGACGCAGGAAAAAAAATTCACCACAGAAAAGAGATCTAGAGTTCTTTTCGCTAGCTCAAATTATATTAGAATAATACTCTGATTTAGCTTTTGACAATGCATCTTTGTAATGTTGGATATAGTCAGCAAGCATTTCTTTATGTACAGTAAGCAGGGGTGCTGCTATGGTTTCCGGGCCCCCTGAACATTATTGACTCAAATTGAATTAAAATTAATATTTTAATTGATCAAATAAACTTAATTGTATCCAGCATGCCAGCAAAAGTTTGGAATAATTATGTTGTATTATACTAAATTATCTAATAAAGCTATACTGATGATGTCAATTATTAATTTTCTTTTACTTTGACTTTTGTACCATTTTACATACTATACGCAAAAGAGCTTCTTGTGCATTTTCATAATCAGCAGTTGCAAGCATGTTACTACATATATAAATATATAGATCACAGATAGATGACTTATAGTTATATGTACAGATACAATTTAATGCAAAGCACATCTAATTAAAAGTTTTGACATGAACTACAGTAGTTTCATAGACATCAATGTTTTTTTCTGTTTTGCAGCCATTTGATCTTAATGAAGTGGACATCATGGTCAGCTTTCCTGAGCGTTACCCTCAAGAGGTGTGC